CTTCAACCAGTTCACAATTCACCTCACTACCCGATCATCTAGACACACAAAATAAGAGACACTGGGAAGCAAATAGAATTTTACTTCAGTAGGTCACCTCATGGAGGCGGTGAAGGTCTTTCTAGGCACAGACTGGCTGTACAGACACACAGCATGGCTAGGAGGGTTTCTGTGCACAAATGCAGTCGCCCAAACATGAATCCTGCCACAGGCTGTGCTGGAGATGAAGGATGAGACCCAGGGAAGCCCACCCCATTTTTCCCCCTAGACAGTCCTGCTCCCACACCAACTGTGTATAGGAATAAATGTAGAGCAGGGTTAGTTTTTCCACTTTGTTTTCCCTGCAATGTAAGCTCTGTCGCTCAGTGTGACATGAACATGGGTCTGGGCGCTGCACAGCCATTCCACTGGCTCTGGGAGCAGGAGCACAAAGTGCAGCAACACAATTCCAAGAGAACCAGGCACAGGAAAGGCTATTGCAGTGCTGTCACTGACAGTCACTGCTCCTACTGGATCAAGACCTCAGTCAAGGGCACTTCTTAGGATAAACTGTGCTGCCCAATCCTTACCACTAGTTGCAGCCACAGAGTCAGCACAATGAAACCATGTTATCTGACCTCTTCAAAATCTTGAGACAAGTGGTCAGAGGTGTGACCTCTAAAACATTCAGCCAGGCAGTACTCTTCTCTCCCCACTACAGCTGTAGTAGCTCTATATTACCTGTACTTTTTATCCAGGTATGGTGTTTCCACAGCTGCTTTAAATCCATTAAAATCCACCCACAGCTCCAAACCTGACAGTGGGGTCGTTCATTGTGCTCTGTCCTAGCAAACACAGAACAAAGTAGAGTTCAGAGATCCTGCCTCTTCCATCTTCACTCTTACCAAAACGTAGATGCTACAGGAAACTTTTATAAAAGTCAGAAAATACCATTCCTATATGTACAGCCAACACCTAATCCTTATTAACACTTACCCTGAGGAACAGTTACCTCAAAATGTCACAGTACAAAACTCGGAGACAGCAGCAACAGTCTCTTGTCTCACAGCACACTGAATAATACACTGTATACAGGGCTGCTCTAGGAAGTGCTTGATATCTCAGATAGATCTTAGGCAAGTATTCCCAGACATTTCCTGTGTCAGTCAGCACCATGCCATCAGAACAGATTACGCAAGATATCACTTGCTGCACTCCACTTGAGCTGAAGCTAGGCAGCGGGATATTACCAGCATAAGCAGAGTCAAGTGCTGAATGCTGCCTTCTCACAAAGCCAATGCACCACCAAAACTCTCCAGTGCCACCCAAACTACTGGACATGAGAGTACTGAGCCTGAACAGTTGAACAAGATATATCTTCTGACTACTAAAGCCCTGAATGATCATCATCCTACTAGTCCCCCAGTGTACTGCTCTCAGGAACAGAGAGTTTCCTTTAATAAGAGAGTGCAACATGTTCTCACTGTATCTGTACACGGTGATCTTGTTATCAGCATCTAGGACAGCCATGTCTCCACTATGTTTGGGATGTGTGTGAAATGCAACCTGATTAACTGCCTGTTGGAGCTGGAGCTCATAGGTACACATGGGTGGAGGCACCACAGCATGCTGGAACGCTGTGACAAGCACTTTATCTGTGGAAAAAAAGGGAAAAAAACCCAAGCTGTAACCCAGTTCAAATGTTACCGAGGGTCGTCTTAGGTTCTTTACTGAAAGCTGGAACAATGTTACAGGAAAACAGTTGCCGCGCCCTTAGCAGTTAGCTCCATTGAACCACCTCTGAAGCTTCCATCAATTACATGGTCTCCCCCACTAACAGCTTTGCAGAAACAGCAGCTAACAGAACTACCACCCAGCCTGTATCCAAAAGGATTTGCCACCTCTTCTGACCCTAGAGCTGCAAAGCAGTTACACTGCTTACCTCCATCTATGACAGCCACATTTGCCACATGCTGGCTATTCTCTCCCATCCCACGGTCTGTGGTCCAATGCCAGTCATAGGAGAGGTAATGCCAACCCTTGCAGAGTACATGCAGTCTATACGGGCTCTCTTGGTCCCACAGCAATGACACCAACTGATTTTCCTTCAAGCTACCAAAATGTAGACTTTGCTTCAGGTACCAGTGATAGTTCCCTGTGGTCCATAGCTGAACTGTAGAACAACAAACAGTTACCACAGACTACTACTTGAGACCCATCTCAAAGTCTCCCCATCACCACTGCTCTTCTAGGGATGGGTTAAGTGCAATGAAAATACAGTTCTAGCCTTCAGCCCATGGGCTGTGCTTAGGGATATAGGTTAGTGGTGGACTTCGCAGTGTTAGGTTTAAGGTAAAAGCCTTTTCCAACATAAAAGATTCTATGATTCCATACAATGCATAGCACAAGAAAACTTAACATGTGACTGTGCAAAAGAGTCAACTGTAGAATTCTTTGACCTCCTCTTGTGAGGAGGTACTTGTATTTTACAAAGGGCTCATACCTTTAGCATTCCATTAATATCACTTCCAGTTACAGTGGTCTGGAAGATGCTTTGAGCTCAGGATGAACTGTCAATTCTTCTTGACCTGCACAGGGGTCTAAAAGCTGTAGGTAAGCCTCCCCAGTGTCTCCTGACTCGCAGAGGAATACCCACTGCTAACCACGTTTGCAGGCAAAGGGCCAGAGCCTCACGTAGTGCTCTCACCGTAACTGTTTGGGTTGGAATTCTCTGCCTTCTGATCTTCCAGCCATATAGCCAGGATTGTAGAATCTGCATTCCACAGCAGTTCATTAACCTGGAGAAACAAACACAGCTCTTGCAGACTGTTGCTTCTGTATAGGGTGGGTATGGTTTCAATTATTTTGCAAGACCATGAGTTGCTCCTTACTTTCAACAATGCAAGGTGCATGGGTTAATATACTAACATAACCCTCATGTATTGCAAAGCTCCCAACAGCTAAAGCAAAGCATCCTGAAACAGAACCCGTCACAGTGGTTCCACACAGCTGAAGAGGTGATACAACCACAAACGTGATTGCAGCGTTCTCTTGCTTTCCTTGGCACCAAGAAAGCACCTGTCAAAAGACAGATCAGCATCCAAAGGCAGAAGCTCAGCATCCAAAGGCAGAAGTTGAAGTATACCCTGGCAGTAGCTTCTCACTCTCTTATTTGGGATAAGGTGAGTATTTAACATCACTCCCACAACAGCTAATATCTTGAACAGCACTTTTAAAGCATTTTCCTGGTAGAAAGTGTACTGGGGCCAGAAGCACCCTAGAGCTACAATCCTCCTGTACTTGTCTCTGCACTAACAGGCCTGCAGAGGGCATTGCATCTTCTCCCAAGCTTCTTCATTGTTCTCTTTTCAGGTCACTTCTTCCACTAGGACCAGCACTGTTAAGTTAAAAACTTTCTCCTATAATCTGGGAAAGATCTAGCCATCCTCTCCATTACACTGTAATCAAAGAAGCTCAGATACAGCACTTACTTTGACTTGCCCTTTCTGGAACGGGAGGGTGAACTCCCCATGAAGAAGTCCATTCTTCTCCAAGAAAATCACATCGTATCTGTTGGGTTTTTCTTGTGTGGATGCTATGAGGTTTCCAGAGGGCCTTAAAATAGAGATGAAAAGTGGTTGCTCACATAATCACTAGCTGTCATTTTAAACACCAATCGTCTTGCCTTTTCTCCAGAGACATGAAGAAAAGGGCAGCAGAGGATGTGTTTTCCTCACCACTGTTCAAAGTCACAGGTCCAGCACAGACATTTTCCAGGGCTCATGGAACACTGGTAAAGGGACTGGTAATATTCCTATTTATACAGCTGAGTCCAAAAACACTTGACACAGAGGCTGCGCAGAGAATCTATCCCTTCTTCCCACATTTAATGCGAGTATTAGGCTTTTCAGGGTTTAAAGGGCTACTCTTCCTCATGCTGGATCAGAAGGAAACTTACTTCAAGTTTTTGGAAAAATGAACAAACACAGAAGAAAGAAATTTGATGCTGAACAAAGGATGTGACCAAGCAATAAAATTCAACACTCTGCTACCAGCATGCAGACTGCGTTACCACTCACTTCCACGACAGTGCTTGTTCTAATCCTGAGATAAGCTCACTTGTTGACTGCAGCACAAGCTCTCTGTTCCATACTCGGACCTTCCGAACACCTACAGGTTGAGAGAGCAATGAGACAAAGGTGTAAGAAAGCACTGGGAAGAGACTTTTCTAATTTTATGAAGGTAGGAGAGCAAATTTTGATGCATCTGAAAAAAAAATAAAAGATATCTTTTGCATACCTCAAGGGGTAAGAACTTACTTTGTCTCAGGCAGTTCTCCTATAGTAACTGAGTGACTCTAAAGAGACTGAGCAGGAATTTCAGTGTGATGTAGCTCAGACATAGCCATTTCCCTCTGCAACTTTCACCACAGAAATGTCAAAATCTTCCTATAAATGCAAAATCCTCCCTAATCTGAAGTACTGAAGACAAAAAACCAAACTAGAGGAAGAGCAGTGCAGTTTGGTGCAGTTCAGTATGTTGACCAATACATTTAAACTGCTCAGTAATATTTACCATGGAAGACATCAATTACAGTCTTACAGTAAATGTTTGTGCTCATCACCTTTTTGGCTTTAGGGCAAAACCTAGAGAAAAGTATTACCAGTATTTAAACAAAAGTGTGCAAGACCAAACTGTTATGTATGAGGGACAGCGGGTATGGCAACCCAAACTGGCACTGGGAGCCCATCAGAGACTGCTTAGCGCTTCAGTGGTGATTTAACACTGCTGAAACAAGCAGCTCAGATAATAACTACTCATTAGTAACCTCTCCTGGCTTCTCACTGGACTGAAAACCAAACTGCAAAGAAAGTCTTCAAAAAATCGTATTTACAAAATGCCTCTGAGAACACCAAAACAGAGAAAACAGCAATTAACCAGCTCAACTCACTCTTCCTTCAAGTGGTCAAGAGATTAGGAGCACCAGCTAGTTCTTGCCTTGCCTAGTTTCTGCTTAAGAAGCCTCTTACACATATTGGTATTTCAAATAAGTTTCGTCCATACCTGTCTCTGGACAGACAGCACTCACTGCAACAAACTGCCCATCTCCTCTCCATGTCACTCGAGGCTTGCCATCATCCCAGGGTGAAGTAGGTGAGACTTCCTGAAGTCACACAACAGAAAGTTGCAGCAAAGCTTGGGAAGGCAACTGCTGTCTTTGCCTGAACAGACTGCATTGCTAAGCTAGCTCTTTCAAGAGCCTTGGCATAAAATCAATCCATTAAAAAAGCCTTAAGGCTGCGAAGTTAAAAATTTACTAGTCAGAATGTTATTTTAGGAAATACTAGAATTAAAACTGTCTGTAAATTCAATCTGCTCCTCCTGCAAGACTGTCTATGCACTGCTTCACACGCACGATCTCCGCTTATAGATCAGCGAAGCATAAGCTGGACACCAAGGGTGAAACAGGGTTTGTTTACGACTGATGCCTGGAGTCACAATCCCTTGGAAGGAGAAAGGTGCCTGGATAGCATGCCTTTCTCAGTCTGTATGGCAGCCTGAAGCTGGGATGAGAAGTAGTGTTCTTTTAGGCAAACAGGTTCTTCACAGAACAACAGAGGAAAAAAATAAATCACAACAGAATACACATAGAAAGGCAGCTGTTTAAAGGTTTACCTTTGTCAAACTAGGCACATTTTCCCAGATACAGCCAAATCTTGTCCTGTCCCTAACAGTAAAGGTGGAAAAGGCCACATTTCATGTCTCGCACTCTAGTCTGCCAAGTTTC